CTTCACCACCACCAAACCATTGCTACAATGGTTTAAAATTAAAGAGATTGCTCTAGATGGAAATGCTCCTAAGGCTAAATAGCTATCACCAGAGAAAATAAAACCACAGTAAAGGTAGTGGACCAATTAATTATTAAGCAAATGCAAAATTAAATCAACTACCCACAAAGTCAGTCAAGGGATACACAAAGAGTACAGAATATGACACCTAATATACAAAGAGTGGAGAAGGAAAAAAAAGAAGGGAGAAAAAAACTGAAACTTTAGATTGTGTTTGAAATAGCATAATAAGCAAGTTTAATTAGACTGTTAAATAGTAAAGAAGCTGCCCTTGAACCTTTGGTAACCATGAATCTAAAGCCTGCAATGGCAATAAGTACGTATCTATCAATAATCACCCTAAATGTAAATGAACTGAATGCACCAATCAAAAGACATAGAGTTACAGAATGGATTTAAAAAAAAATCCATCTGCATGCTGCCTACAAGAGAGAGACTCACTTCAAAACTAAAGACATACACAGACTAAAAGTGAAGGGATGGAAAAAGATATTCCAGGCAAATAATAGGGAGAAAAAAGCAGGTGTTGAAGTACTTCTTTCAGACAAAATAGACTTCAAAAAAAAAGAAAGTAACAGGAGACAAAGAAGGACATTACATAATGATAAAGGGTCAGTCCAACAACAGGATATAACCATTATAAATATCTATGCACCCAATATAGGAGCACCTAAATATGTTAAACAAATAGTAACAGAATTAAAAGGAGGAAATAGAATGCAATACATTCATTTTAGGAGACTTCAACACACCACTCACTCCAAAGGACAGATCAACCAGACAGAAAATAAGTAAGGAGATAGAGGCACTGAACAACACATTAGAAACAATGGACCTAACAGACATCTACAGAATACTCCACCCAAAAGCAGCAGAATACAGATTCTTCTCAAGTGCATAAGGAACATTTTCAAGAATAGATCATATACTAGGCCACAAAAAGAGCCCCAATAAATTCAGAAGGATTGAAATTGTATCAACCAGCTTCTCAGACCACAGAGGTATGAAACTAGAAATAAATTTTCCAAAGAAAACAAAAAAGCCCACAAACACATGGAGGCTTAACAACATGCTCCTAAATAATCAATGGATCAATAACCAAATAAAAACGGAGATCAAGCAATATATGGAAACAAATGATAACAATAACTCAACACTGCAAAATCTGTGCGACGCAGCAAATGCCTTGCTGAGGGGGAAGTATATAGCAATATGAGCTTACCTCAAGAAAGAAGAACAATCCAAAATGAGCAGTCTAAACACAATTAATGAAACTAGATAAAGAATAATAATAAGGCTCAAAGTCAGTAGAAGGAGGGACATAATATAGATCAGAGCAGAAATAAATTCTGTATTTTTCTAAGTTTCTATCTTTCTTAAATTCCTCCCTGAGATCTTGAATATTTTCCTGTAGCTCCATGAGCATGTCTGTGACTTTTATTTTGAAATCTTTATCAAGAAGATTGATGATTTCAGTTTCACTGAGCCCTCTTTCTGGCATTTTTTCTTATAATTTTGTTTGGACCAAATTCTTTTGCCACTCCATTTTTTTAGTGTTTCTTATGAAATAATGACTGTGTAGGCTGCATCCTTTAGTGCCCAGAACCTCAATTTCCTGTGCTGGAGCTCCAGCTCTTGGTGAACAGTGGATGTATGTCTTTTTTTGCCTCATTTAGTGCCATCAGCTGATTGCACACGCAGGTAAAATGCTCTCTGGAGCTGCTGAGCACCTGCAGCAATGGCGCCAGTTGCAGGCAAGTGGAACTGGGAGGAAAAAGCTCGCCTGGGAATGTTCCTGCCTTCCCAGCTGTAATACCGGCCTCTACTGCCAGGTCCAGTGGGCTGTGGGCAGAGGGAGGAACCTCTGTGCTATGCCCCCATAGCTGCCATGGGTGGGGCCACCCTCTGGCAGGCCTGGCACAATGGCAGGGCAGCAGGTGAGCAGGACCAGTGCCTGCCAGGAGAAAGGAGTGGCAGGCTGCCTACCACAGTGGGTGGCCTCAGTGCTGTGTTGCCAGCCAGGGGGATGGAGCATCTGAAAAAGCTCCTGAGTATTCCCAACCTGCTAGGTTGAGCATGCCAGGAAGGTTTTGTCCACTTGCTCATTCTTCTGAGCAGCAAGTTCCGCATAGTCTTTGCCTCTTTAGCTCCCCTCTCACTGCTGGCAAATCCTTCAAACTGCCCACCTTTCTTTTGTGCCAGTTGTGCATACCTATTCTTCACAAGCAGCTAGAATCTGTGTCTCTCTGAGTATTCTACCTGTCTTTGCTTTCCAACTCCTGTAATCTCCAGAGCATCCTGTAATGTGGGTCTGTGCTCCCAGAGCAGATCTCCAGGTTTGGGTGTTCAGGAGTCCTGGGCATCTACTCCCTCCCCACTTTGTTTATCTTCCTCCTGCCTGTGGGCTGGGATGGCGGAAGGGCTTGGGTCCTGCTGGATCACACCTTTGCTTCTTTACCCTTTTCTGTGCAGTCTTCTCTTTTTCCCCAAATGTAGGCAGTCTGTTCTGCAGTCTTCAGGCTGCTTTTTCAGGATTAGGTTTATTTGCTGTATTTCCATGTTTTATGTGATTTGGGGAGGAGGTTTATGCCTCACTTCTCATGCTGCCATCTTTTTTCCCCCAATACTGGCTAATTTCAAGCCTCCTAAAGGAATACCAGAGTCTCCTAATTGGTCTACCTACCATAAATTTCTAGGCTTTCCAAGTCACTCTTGATTATCATCCTAACACATAGACCAAATTATGCCACCCCTCCTTATATATGCCCAACTTGTTACAGATTCCAAACCACGTAAGTATGGCTTGGTTGGGTTTCAAGTTCCTACATAGTTTGACTTGACTCCAGCCTCTCTACTTTTGACTCTCTGTAGCTTCTCTGAGCCAGCAAGCATTTCTCAGCACTCCCTGTATGCTCAATGCTGTTAGTGGTGTTTCCTTGCTCTTAAAGGAGGTAAATGCCACTCCTCCTCAGCTTACCTAGAAGTTTACTCTATCCTTCAAAACTCAGCTTACATTCCACCTATTTGTGGTATTTTTCCTGATCCCTCAACTTCCCCCAAACCTTGCGACCCACCTTTTCAGTTTGTGTGTGTGTGTGTGTGTATGTGTGTGCGTGCACACGCGTGTGTGTGTGTGTATATCTCTGTCCCTGGAGTCATTCATTCTCTTGTGTTAGAGTTGCTGATTTACATATTAGTCAACTAGTTGTTTTATAATAAGTTCCCCAGAGCAGGAATTTTATCTTTATCCTTGATAGGTCTGTTAACAGTACGTACTCAGTGAAATGGCCATTGAATCAAGCACCTTAACCTTCTTTCTTTCCTTTTTTTTAAGCTTTTGTTGTTGCTGTTGTGTAACATTTCACACTACAAGTGTACAGGAAATGTATATTAAGAATGTAAAATGTAGCTTAAAAAAATGCACCCACCACCTAGCTTAATAAATAAAACATTGACCAGTATGTTTGAAACCCCCTGTGTGTCCTCATTCAGTCACATGGCCTTCCCTACATCCCCACCCACCCTGAGATTAGCTCTATCCCAAATTTTATATTAATGTTTTCCCTTATGCTCTTCCTGCATATTTGACTAGGAACAATTGTGCTTAGTTTTGTCTGTTTTTTTTAATTTTATTTAAACGGAATCATGTATGTATTCTTCTGACTTGCCTTTTTCCTTCAACATTATGTTCTGGAGTTAAATCATGTCGCCTGAAAATACAGTTCATTAGTTTTCCATGTGGTATGAGATTTCATTGTAGAAGTAAACAATATTTTTTCACATGTTATCGTCAATAGGCATTCAGGTTGTCTACATTTAGGGTCTCTTCCCAACAGTGCTGCTACATACATTCTTGCAAATATCTCCTGGATGGAGAACATACGTACAACAGTTTCTAAAGCATATATAATAGAATTTCTGAGTTGGAAGGTTTGTATGTGTTTATGTTGAACATGTTATCCCAAATTGTAGTCCAATCTGACCACCAGTGTACTCTCTCCACAGACAAGAGGGGCTCTCCCTTGTTCCAGCCCTCCTCAGTGCTGGCATTGTCTAAGTTTTTACTATTCACCCATCTGGTGGGTATGAAGTGGTATCTCCTGGTGTTAATTTTCATTTCCCTGACTATGAGTGTGGTTGCTCATCTTTTCATATGTTTACTGCCATTTATGTTTCATATTGTCTGAAATACCTATTTCTGCCTTTAGCCCAGTGGCCTCAGCACCATCTAATTAATGGATCTTTGTCGCCTCACCAATCTGTGATGCCAGCATTGTCGTAAATCAGGTTTCTGTATCTGTGCAAAAAGGCTAGCCAGCTCTCTGTCCTAGCCCTTAGGTCCGTTTATCCATCCCAGGGGCAGTATCAAACCATCTGCACCATAAGTCTCGGGATCTAGAGGTCCTTTTCCCCTTTCTGTGCCTTATATGATTGGAGCCGTTTATTAGGTTCAAAAAAAGAAGGTTCTGTAGAGGGATGATCTGATTACTATACTGGCTTTTTTACTCATTTACAAAGTTTAAAGTTTAGTTATCCACTTACCCCCTCTTCCAAGGCAAAACAAAAACTTTCTTTGACATTTATGATACTACAAACCTTTCATTATTCTGATCCAAGTAAGATAGATACTCAAACACTATTTTTGTTCTTTCCCTTCTTCCCATCCTTAAGAATCAAGTCCAAAAGCTTCATAATTTTAAAAAATGTATTTGTTTACTCCTGCACAACAGAATACATAAATCTGATTTTCCTAACACTAAAAACCCATTGTTCTAATGGCAGAGTACTCATTACAAGGCCTGATCAACCACCAGCCATCATAAGGTTTCTCGTTGTTCAGGACGCCTTATTGCTCAGCACCAGCCTTTCCTGCTGAAGTACAGTGGTTTCTCCTTGTCTCATGGTAACCTTGTTTTCATATTTGTCCATCTTCCTGTCAGCTGCAACCTGTGAGTTTTTGGACATTGTAGAGCTGCTGCTCCAGTCCGGCGCTGACCCCACTCTCCGAGACCAGGATGGCTGCCTGCCGGAAGAGGTGACAGGCTGCAAAGCAGTTTCCCTGGTGTTGCAGCAGCACATGGTGGGCAAGGCTTAACCGAAAGACTGGACAATCAGCCTGTACCAACGTAGGGCTTCAGTGGCAGAGAGAACCACAAAAATTCTCTCACCACCCATTTTTGGTATGCATTGGCTAATAAAATCAGTTCTGAGGAACTGGCATTTTGAAGTCTCAGCAGTTCATTCTGTGTGCGTGCATTCCAGCAAGTATAGTTTTGGTGATGAACATGTACTGTGCATAGTCCAGTCCAACCCTGCTGAGTATGCTCTGACATTTGTCACTGTTCTGGAGGGTGAGGAGAGGGGAAGACACGCTGTGTTTCACAGTATTACGCATGGCTGCTCTTTTGTTAAAAAATACAGAAGCAAAATAGGACCAATGATACATTGACAATTAGGGAAAGTTTCATGAAATCCCAGTATGGTGGAGATCAAATGATCTTGTGGCATTTTGTATAGCAGGTCTGAAGGTAGCTAAGATGTATATTCTTTTTGGCAGACAAAATCCGGAAAGTAGGTAAGAAGAGACATTTTAAGAAAAGCAAAAGAAAGGGCAGAATTTTGTCACATAAGGGGTAGAGAAGTCAGAGGAATGACTAAAAACCTCAAAACCTTGGGCACTTTAGAATAAGATAGAGTGACTTCATGCAAGGATTGAAACACAGGTTCTAAAGGACTCAACTCATCTTTGCAAGACAGAGAGGAATTTCCCTTAGGGCGCCTTTAATTACCCGTTAATGTCCCTGTCAATCTGGTAGCAGTCTATGAAAATGAGCTCAGGCCTGAGCTGTTAGGCCTGTTTGAGTCTGATGTGAAATGACCATGATGCCCCAATACCTAGGTGTGATTGAAGTTATTTCTGGATACCCAGAGAATTTCCATTTTTTATATAAATCATAGGTATGCCACATTTTTAATCTGAAGGATAAGTAGCTATGTCACTGTTGAAACTGACACACTTTATTTTCCCCTTTAAACCTCAATAACTCCATCTGGAGTATTCCTTGACATCCCTTGTTATATAAGGAAAGTAAGTAGTTGTCACGAGAAAAGAATTTGAAGTAAGAAACGAGTTGATATGCAAAGATGACTATTTAAAAGAGGATTTTTCTAATGTGCCACTATTAGCATAACAAGTAATAAACTCAATAGTAAACAAGATTTTCATTAGCTTGAGCTAACCTGTCCTAGAAGGAGCCCCTTCAGAGTGGAAGAGAGGCATAGTAATGTGTTCATTTTGTGATTTTTTTTCCTAACCTAACTTACTGTTTTCTGAGATGTAAACCAAAACCATTCACCAAGACAATACATTTTTTAAATGAATTCTTAATTATCTGTGGAAGTGATATATATGTCCCTACATAGCAAAATGTTACTGTAAATCTAGTAGAGCTTTCTCTTCATTATCTGTTCTTTTCCCACAATCCCAGCTATATTGCAGCCTACTGTTAAGCTAAACTCTGTCATGCTCCACATTAATTGAATGTGCTTTAAAACACATTATTCATTAGTTACAGTAAAAGTGACCAAGATTTTGCATGCAGCTTTTAATTAATAGTATTTTGCACATTTTTAGGACATTAGGAAATCAAAAATTGTTAATTCGTTTCAGATTTACAAGGTAGTTATCTAAGCAAGAAGCTGTCGAATAACTCCTTTTTTCATCTCAATTCGACCTTGATATTTCTTATACAAATTTTTTATGACCTGTTTTGCTACATCTAAATTATGTATAGTTTTGAAGCAAAAAACATAACTTGTTTATTAATTTTATATTAAAGGTTTCAAGTTTACTTGAAAGCAGTCACTGAAAACAGTCATCAACAGTATTTTCAAGTGCATTCTAAAATCGGTTTCCAAAATCCTTATTCTTTTGTCATCAGTATCTGAGTTTCCAGAAGCCATACTATATCATACAACAATCTATTATTGGATCATCTTTCTGTACTTCAAGGGGAAGATTTCATCCATAAATGGCAGAGAAAAGGGCCACAACTCAAGGCTGGTGAAAGGAAAGGAGCAACACACAGCAGCAATTCACCGGAGAATTCTGCTTTATTAGGGAAAGGTGCTGGGTTATATAGGAAGGGGCATGGGGTGATTGTGGTGTTACTTCTACGGGGCTGGTGGCTGTTGGCTAGGTGCTGGGATTGGGAGGGGGGCGAGAGGTGATTGGGCTTCAGGTGGCGCCGGCGGGAACCGAGGACCCCTGAAGAGAAGCTGGAAGTTTGCCATCCTACTGGTGGGGGCCCTTCATTCCCCCCTTTCTCATCTATGGGGTTGTGGACGTTGCTTTCTCTCTGGCTGCTTCCTGCTGAACAGGGGCGGAGAAGGGAGTGAGGGCTTGAGGATTGGGAGGAAAGGGTTGATAGGACTCCCCACAGTAAGGACGAGTAGATGTGGACTTCTTCAGGTTGGAAATCGATTAAGGTTCCCTGTAACTATAGGTCGAGGACTTGTTGATTCTAATGGTGGTGGCAGGAGGATACGGGTGCCAGAAGCCAGGCGTCTGCGGCCATTGTTTCTAGGAACAGTTTCCAGTGGAGAGAGGGGTCCATCTCAGCGTGTGGTGAGGAGGTCACGTGAGGGTGAGGGATCTTCTGTGGCCAGAAGCTGGTAGTTCCTGAGTAAAAGCTGGTTGAAAGCTTGATTAGAGATTTTTCCGACTTGGGATTTGATGAACTTTATTATACAGGGTAAGAAGAGACAGGCAAGAAGAATGATTATTATGGGGCCTGCAATGGGCCAGAGCCAGGTGAGGAGGGGGTTTGTTAGTATTGACGAGAATGGGTTGGAATTGGAAGCAGAGTGGAGGCTGGAGGCAAGGTCGGTGAGTTTGGTAATGTCAGTTTCTACAATGCCGGATTCGTTGATGTAATAGCAGCACTCTTCCCAGAGGAAGACGCAGGTGCCGCCCTTCTCGGCTGTAAGCAGATCTAGGGCCCGCCGGTTTTGAAGGGTGACTTTAGCTAGCGAAGTGACCTGTCTTTGGAGAGAGGCTAGAGAATCGGCAGTGGATGTCAGGGCTCCCTCAAGTTTGGCGTTGAGATCTCTAACTGCCTATAGAGAGTGACCCAAGGCTTCTCCCGAAAACCCTGCCCCAATGGCTGAGGTGATCAAAGAGCTACTGACCATGATGGGAAGGAAAGCAGCTCTTTTTGTGCGCGAGGGCAAGGGAGGTTGGAGCTCAAGGAATTCTGCCATGCTGTAAAGTGTTAACTGTGGGATTAGGGTGACGAGAATGCAGGGTGTATCGGAGTTGAGAGGCAGTGAGTTGAAAAGACTGCCATTACACTAAAAGAAGTGTCCCGGTTGCGTAAAAGTCTTAGAGCCGGAGGTAGGGGTGTAGATAGAGAGGCAGTGAAGTGCGCTGGAGGGGGGTGGAGTTGGGCCTACACAGTGGTGGATGGTGAGATTATCTGCGTATTCTGGTTCCCATAGGGGTATGTCTGCCAGGGGGCAGAGGGGTTGTCCTTCTGCATGGAAGGAGTAGTTGGAAATATTAAGGGGCACGGCGGCCAGCAGTGGGCGCTGTAGTGATGCGCACAAGAAACAATTGGCTGTGTTAAGGGTGTGGTTGAGAAAGATGGTGGTGTCCTGAATGAGCTGTAATGAAGAGTAGGAGAAATGGGAAGAGGGGCGGGGATAAGAAGATGAAGAGGCGCCGTCAAGAGTTTGGATAATGACTTTTTCGGAATGTCTGCTATCTGATGCAACTTGAGAGATCTGGGAATGAGAGGGAACATACTTTCGAGAGATATGAAGGGTACTGTGGGGGGTCGAGGACCCCCCGTAGTAAACTGAGGCTGTGACTCTGGCAGCCCATCGAGAGTCCCAGGGATCTGGGATTGATAAGGAGAATGAGCCATTGGGATATTTCATGAAACGGTTGGAGGAGTAATACTGTGGGTACTGGAAGTTACCCATGTAGTGAATGGTGCAAGACTAGTAGGGACATCTCCTGTAGGTATCTGGCCATCGCCTGCAATAGGCTTGTTTTTGGTCATAGAGGAAGCAGAGGTAGGGAGAATAAGGGTAGCTGCTAGTGAACACTTCAGTGGAGGGAGGAAAGTGGAGGTATAAAGGCTCAGAGCAGCTTTTCAGAGGGCAGTCTGGTGTGGCAATGAGGGCAGTAACTTTTGTTTGATGCTGTGTGTAAGTCTGTCTGACTTTGAATCGCCATACAAAGGAGGCTGGGGTGGTGGGGAAGACAATAGGAATGAGGAAAAAAAGCGAGAGAGCAGTAAAGGAGGAAAAAGTCATGATTCGGGTATGGATGGCAAAGGGGGTGAACGGGATTTTGGAGGAAAGAGGACAGTAAGGTCAGGAGTCTGGAGGGAGGGAGAGTCTGTAAACTTTTGTAGGTTAAGAGATCTTTTAGGTGATGTGGGGACAGAATGGTAAGGGGCGCCCTGAATGTCAGTTTATGAGCTTCTTTCTGCAAGAGCTGTCTAGCGGCTAATGCTCGTAGGCAGGGGGCCCATCCCTGAACTGTGGGGTCTAATTGCTTGGAGAGATAAGCTACTGGGGCAAAGGATGGGCCATAATATTGGCCTAGGACTCCTAGAGCTTGACTGGACCTCTCATGAATGTATAATGAGAAGGGCTTCGACAAATCAGGAAGATGGAGAGCTGGGGCTTCCACAAGGGCTTGACGGAGCTTAATGAAGGAGTGTCGGGGTGAGGATGATAATGGTTCTTCAGGGGGGCCCTTGCTGAGGTCGTATAGGGGTCTTGCCAACAGGGAGAAGTTAGGGATCCACGCTCTAAAATACCCAGCCAGGCCTAGAAAGGAAAGGATTTCTGTCTTGGTTTTGGGAACGGGCAGGTCAGAGAGGAGCCGTTTTCTGTCTAAGGTAATGGACTTTCTTTGTTGAGACAGAAGGAATCTGAGGTAAGTGACAGGAGGGGAAGAGATTTGAGCTTTGACGGGGGATACTCGGTAACTTCTGGAAGCTAGAAGGTTAAGTAGGGAGGCAGTGTCAAGTTGAGACTGTTCCCACGAGAGACTGCAGAGTAGAAGATTGTCTATGTATTATAAGGTGGACTTGGAGTGATCATGATGAAACTGTTTGAGGTCCTGAGCTAGGACCTGTCTAAAAATATGGGGACTATCTCGGAAGCTTTGTGGCAAAACTGTCCAAGTGAGTTGTTCAGAATGT